AACAGTGAGAGACTTATTTCTGGAAAGGTGGATTTTTAGAAGTAGAAGCTCAAACTGTTTGGGCACAGACCTGGATAGTATGATAGAGCTCTGCAGGCTCTCTCTACAGTAGATTGTAACTCCGCCTCCTTTGGCAGTTCTATCTTAGACGGAAGTTCTCATTCCTTTAGAGAAATGGGCTGAAACGTTCAAATGCAAATACTTCACAGTGCATTACATGTTTGGAAAAGTCTGTATTAAGTAGATTATTAAAATGTAGAAGCTTTCTTTTCTCCAAAGCCAACCATTCTCTGAAGTTAACTGCCTAATGAGATTCCTTGAGAATAACAACCCATATTGAAAAAGTGTTATGTTGCTGAACTAGCTTTTTCTGATGCCAAGGACTGACCTTTTGTACGGTTCTTGTTATTGGTAATGATCATAACCCTCATTGCCAAAACCATATTCATTCTGATCCAATAATTCCATCTCCTACTAGTGCCCACTTAGTGTTCAGTGATTATTATCTTTCATGATGATTTGACAGTTCTGTCCAAGGGACATTAAACCAACACAGGAAAAATGGCAGGATCTAATTTAACAGGAAGAGTCCACAGCCAGTTCCATGGAAACCTAGTAAAACTCAGTTTTAGTAGGATACGGCCATGATAAGCCAACTGATTTCTCACACTATTCATAATTTCCACTGAGACGTGACACCTACACTTAAGCGACCAGGACGCCTTCTGTATTCTCTAGTAGAGGTGAGCGGTTATGTTCCATCCACTGAGGTTAGAGAAACCTCAGAAGGTGCTCAAGAAGTTATGTGCCAGAAACTCAATGAGACTAGGGACAGTGTTGTTGAATCAGGTAGTGTTCAATGTGGACAGACTGTACAGAAATACTAATTATGACATCATATCCTGGTCAATGCCCCCTCAAATGACTTGAGGTTGCAAGAGTATTGGTGACTAGTGATGAAGCCGGAACAAAACTATACATGTGAAATGAAATACAAAATAAATATAAAAAGTGAATTTTTTAGCAACAGAGGGACATAAATCTGATTATATTTTCTAAAACTATTTACCATTAACATCCAGGCCTGTCACACGAAAAGACGCACTGAAAATGTCAACAGGAATATTGTCAACAGTGATCCCGACCATTTAAAAATCCACCCTTCAGAAGTCAATTAGTTAGTTCTATGGATTATCCATTCCATTGTGATAACTGGTCATTACTGTCACTATGGCTGTCTCTCAATAGTCCTAAACGGTTCCCTCATAAATGTATAGACGTGAGCCATATGTTTCGTACATAACCAGTAATTTCACCTGCCGGAGGTCCTAAAGAAAAGGAGACTAGTAAAGCAAAGGAACCTATTTCAGACTATTGGGGGACAGCCTACAACTCAAGCAGTTATGTTTGACACTCCATCCATTTTACAATTCAGAGACCACAGGCTGAGGCAGATCAGGACTACTACTGGAAGCAGGCGTGGGGTAAGAGACCATAGTAATGGAGATGTAGCTGTAGACGTTTTAGTGAAATGGGTTAATGGATCACAGGAAAACACAGGTCTGGTTATTATGGCATTCCAAGAAACCAGGGCAGGGTAACAACTTCAGTATTACTTCATCAATGCAATATATGTGTGTGTACACAGTGCATTCGGAAAGTATTCAGACCCCTTGACTTTTCCATATTTTGTTACGTTACAGCCTTATTCTAAAATTGATTAAATTACCTTTTTTTCTCATCAATCTACACACAATACCCCATAATGACAAAGCGAAAACAGGTTTTTAGAAATGTTAGCAAATGTATTAAAAATAAAAACAGAAATACCTTATTTACATAAGTATTCAGACCCTTTGCTATTAGACCCGAAATTGAGCTCAGTTGCATCCTGTTTCCATTGACCATCCTTGAGATGTTTCTACAACTTGATTGGAGTCCACCTGTGGTAAATTAAATTGATTGGACATGATTTGTAAAGACACACACCTGTCTATATAAGGTCCCACAGTTGACAGTGCATGTCGGAGCAAAAACCAAGCCATGAGATCGAAGGAATTGTCCGTAGAGCTCGGAGACAGGATTGTGTCAAGGCACAGATCTGGGCAAAGGTACCAAAAAATGTCTGCAGCATTGAAGGTCCCCAAGAACACAGTGGCCTCCATCATTCTTAAATGGAAGAAGTTTGGAACCACAAAGACTCTTCCTAGAGTTGGCCGCCCGGCCAAACTGAGCAATCGGGGGAGAAGGATGAAGAACCCGATGGTCACTCTCACAGAGCTCCAGAGTCCCTCTGTGGAGATGGGAGAACCTTCCAGAAGGACAACCATCTCTGCAGCACTCCACCAATCAGGCCCTTACGGTAGAGAGGCCAGACGGAAGCCACTCCTCAGTAAAAGGCATATGACAGCCCGTTTGGAGTTTGCCAAAAGGCACCTAAAGGACTCAGACCATGAGAAACAAGATTCTCTGGTCTGATGAAACCAAGATTGAACTTGTTGGCCTGATTGCCAAGCGTCACATCTGGAGGAAACCTGGCACCATCCCTATGGTGAAGCATGGTGGTGGCAGCATCATGCTGTAGGGATGTTTTCCAGTGGCAGGGACTGGGAGACTAGTCAGGATCGAGGGAAAGATGAACAAAGCAAAGTACAGAGAGATCCTTGATGAAAACCTGCTCCAGAGCGCTCAAGACCTCAGACTAGGGCGAAAGTTCACCTTCCAACAGGACAATGACCCTAAGCACACAGCCAAGAAAACGCAGGTGTGGCTTCGGGACAAGTCCTCTGAATGTCCTTGAGTGGCCCAGCCACAGCCCGGACTTGAACCCGATCGAACATCTCTGGAGAGACCTGAAAATAGCTCTGCATCGATTCTCCCCATCCAACCTGATCGAGCTTGAGAGGATCTGCAGAGAAGAATGGGAGAAACTCCCCAAATACAGGTGTGCCAAGCTTGTAGCGTCATAACCAAGAAGACTCGAAGCTGTAATCGCTGCCAAAGCTGAATACTTATGTAAATGTCATATTTCAGTTATTATTTTTTTATACATTTGCAAAAATGTCTACAAACCTGTTTTTGCTTTGTCATTATTGGGTATTGTGTGTAGATTAATCAATTTTAGAATAAGGCTGTAACGTAACAAAATGTGGAAAAGGTCAAGGGGTCTGAATACTTTCCCGAATGTATGTATTCTGCAGCAATACGCCCTCCCATCTGGTTTGCGCTTAGTGGGACTATCATTTGTTTTTCAACAGGACAATGACCCAACACCTCCAGGCTGTGTAAGGCCTATTTGACCAAGAAGGAGAGTGATGAAGTGCTGCATCAGATGACCTAGCCTCCACAATTCCCCAACCTCAACTCAATTGATATGATTTGGGATGCAGAGTGAAGGAAAAGCAGCCAACAAGTGCTCAGCATATGTGGGACTCCTTCAAGACTGTTGGAAAAGCATTCCAGGTGAAGCTGGTTGAGAGAACGCCAAGTGTGCAAAGCAGTCATCAATGTAAAGGGTGGCTATTTGAAGAATCTCAAATCTAAAATATATTTTGAATTGTTTAACACATTTTTGGTTACTACATGATTCCATATGTGTTACTTAATAGTTTTGATGTCTTCACTATTATTCTACAATGTAGAAAATAGCAAAAATACAAGAAAAACCCTGAAATTAGTAGGTGTGTCCAACCTTTGACTGGTACTGTATATACACACATAGTTTATTAGGTACACCCATCTAGTACTGGGTCGGACTCCCCTTTGCCTCCAGAAGAGACAGAATTCTTCGGGGCATGGAAACATTGCTCAATTGATATCAAGGGACCTAACGTGTGCCAGGAATATATTCCCTACACCTGCCTGTACCGTTGATACCAGGCAGGATGGGGCCATGCTGCTTACGCCAAATCTTGACTCAGCATGACGCAACAGGAACCTGGATTCGTCGGACCAGGCAATGTTTTTCCATTCCTCAATTGTCCAGTGTCGGTGATCGCGTGCCTACTGGAGCCGCTACTTGTTTTTAGCCTATAGGAGTAGAACCCGGTGTGGTCGTCTGCTGCAATAGCCCATCCGTGACAAGGACTGACAAGTTGTGCGTTCCGAGATGCCGTTCTGCACACCACTGTTGAACTGCACCGTTATTTGCCTGTTATCTTGCACAATTCTTGGCATTCTCCTTCGACCTCGCATCAATTAGCTGTTTTCGCCCACAGGTCCGCTGCTGACTGGATATTTTTTGTTTGTCGCACCATTCTCAGTAAACCCTAGACAATGTCTTGAGTGAAAAGCCCACTCGAACGTTCAATCGAACAGTAACTGAATGCCTCGATGCCCGTCCACCTGCTTTATATAGCAAGCCAAGGCCACGTGACTCAGTCTGTAGGAGTGAACCATTTTCATTAACGGGGTGGTGCACCTAATAAACTGTTTACATTATTACGTAAAAATATTTCTGTGAATCTCCTTCATTAAGTCTTTGCCATAGGCCCAGCAGGGTGAAAATTAACTAAAAAAGCATGGAGCGAGAGAGAGGGAAAAATAGTAAACACAAGGGGAGAGAGAGAAAGAGAAAGTGAGTGAGTGAGAAACAGTGGGAGCAAGAACATTTTATTAACCACTTGCAGAAATGGTATGGATCCATTTGTTCCCATTACCTGAAAGAGAAGTTGTAGATCAGGGTTTTTCAACTGGCGGCCCGCAGTGATTTTATTTGACCCTCCAAGTTTAATTGTTGGACATAAAAGACTGTAAAAACACCAACAAATCAGCTCCAAGTGATTTTAATTTTGGAAATCTGTTCCAAAGTATTCCCACGTATAATAGAGAGATCTACATGATCGTATACAAATGTAAGCAAGGTTTGAAATGATTACGTTTTAGTCAAATATCTCTGTTTCGGCTTCTTGCGGTCAATTTGCAGTCCACAAATGATTTGTAATTATGTGCTGACCTCCTGACCATCCGCTCAAGAAAAAAATTGTCCCGTGGCTGAATCTAGTTGATGATCCCTGTTGTAGATGAAAGTGCCTTAGAAGACTACAAACTCCTCCTTTGGTTGGGCTAATATGGTCAGTCCAATATCTACAGTAGAAACACAGGACAGATAAACAGGCAAGAATTGCCACTGCAGGAAAAGTCATTTAGTTATTTGCAACCTCTTAGTAGTAGTGTTCACGGTCACTCCTGCCTTGGTGTGCTCTAAATCCCCCTGTACAGAAAAGGCCTTTTCTCCTATCTTCTCAAATTATAGATTTTTTTTGTCCTCCACCTTGGATTTTGTCTTTATTTAAAAATACCCACACAGCTCTTATCCCTCCTGAGCCCTTCCATTGGGGGGGAAGAGGAGGGGGAGTGGCCTGGAGGGGTGGGATAATGTCATTAGGCCAGTGAGAGTGGAAGGAGTGAGAATGCAGTTTCAGCCACGGGTATCATGTCTCTTGGAGCTGGCTGATGTCAGTTAAGTTGGTGTCGTTGAGGATGGCTCGGACACGGTCTAGAGAGTCAGCCTGTCTGATCCGCTCCAACTGGACCTGAGGGGAAGAGCGTGATTGAATGATTTAATTTACTACATAATCTAGAACCCTCAAACTCAACTCTGGACCTCTAAGCCAGTTCCACTGTGTTTTTTCATTGTTCCCCTCTAATCAGGGACTGATTTAGACCTTGGACACCAGTTGGGTGGAATTAATTATCAGGTAGAACAGAAAACCAGAAGGCTCCGGACCTCATATACCCTGGATCTAGAAATACACAAACAGCCATGTAGGATACATCTCACATATCAGGGGCGGCACATCAGAGACAGGGTAAAATAAATCACTATCAAATAGTGTTAAAAGCACTGATGAGGTGCTGAATATGGTTGCCATGGTAAGAGGTGTACTATAGGAGTTGGAGTACCATTGCCATAGTAACGCCACGATCATGCGGACCTATCAAGTGTAAGGTCAGACAAGGTAAAGATCCGTTTTTGTCAAATAGAAAGGTATGACTAAGATCTACATCACAAATGTTGATTGAATACTATTATGCATTTTACAAGCAAGTAAGTGCTCATCCATTTATAGGGGAAGGCATGCATTGCTTACCAATGGAAGCGTCATGGTCGTACATACCCTAGAATACATAATTGGAGGTGCATTTGCTGTCCTATTGACTGGACTATATCTATGAATGTTGAACACCCCAGTGTGAAGAAAATAACTTGAGTAACCAGTTTGCGATCTCAGAGACTGGTTGCCATGGTAACCTGGCAGTGTTGCGGTCCGTACCTGGAGGGTCTGGGAGAGCTTGACAAAGTCCCTCTGCACCTGCTCACTGACGTCCAGCTCCGTCTGCAAGCGCTGGGCTTTGTCCTTCTCATCCAACGCCTGAGCCTCCAGGGCAGTCTGCCACCACACACACACACACCGTATACACAGTGCACAGACACACACACATTGAGTATCACTACTCCCACAGGATATTGAGACTTATCACAGATAGGTGAGAAAGGAACAGCAGTAGTGGCTGGTTCTAAAATACAGGCTGTCTGGTATGTCTGAGCAGTGAATGACCTCTGACCTTGGTGGTGGAGAGCTCTCTGAGCTGCTCCTCCAGACTGCTCTTCAGACCCTGGACACTCTCTAATGTCTTGCTCTTCTCTGCCAAGCTGCTCTCCAGCTGGGAAATTAGCACATCAGTTAGGGTTATTATCAACTACTGGCACAAATAGTCTAGTACCAAACTTGAAGTCCTCCTGACTTCAGAGTCTGGGGAGGCTGTTAGAGGTTGTCAGCACGATGTGTCGATAATGTAAGGGGCTTTGCCTTACTGGTTCTCCTCTGTGTCTTTCTCACTCAAACACCCACATGGACAGCCACACACAGTCCCAGAGCGCCGCCTCCTTCCATTACAACTGTTGGATTTTCAAATCCAATCCCCCAGGAAAAAACAAATATTTAAGAGAACCAATCAATGCGTCCACTCTCGAAAAGGAATATGTAATAACAGCCACCTGTCCAGACCAGTGGGGCACCGCTCCTCTCGCTGTGTCACGTGGTCTGCACGCCAACAAGGCTACCAACAGTCTGCACTGCAAAACAATTATGCTAAGCCAGTGGTCTCCAACCCTGGTCCTGGTAGAGAGTTAGGTGCACAGGCTTTTGTTCCAGCTCAGAACTCAAACGTCAAATTCAACTAAACATCAAGACTTTCGTTAATTCAGGTGTGTACATAAGGCTTGTGCCAAAGCCTTCACACCCTGTAGCTCTACGCAACTATGGTCGGTGACCACTGATATTAGCTGTTGTACATTCATGAGGTATTCACATTAACACATTGGTGATGGTAAATAATTCACACCTACATATTCTTCCACACATTTCAAAACAGCAACTACTACTCTAACAAGCCAGTGGTTGTAGGCCTTCGCTAGGATTATGTTATTAAAGGCAGCCACTGAAGGAAATCTGACTTCACATTCAGAGGAGTGACTCATGCAGACTCCCTACAGCTCATTTACCTGTTCTTTCTCATCTTTCACACGCTCCAGCTCAGTTTTCAGACTCGAGAATGACGCTGGGGGAAGGAGAGAAAAGAGATAGAAGGCTTATTAAAGTGTCATTGTGATGGTAAATCAGAACGTCAACCTCAGACATGCATTCTAGCCTTCTAATGTGGTTCCTGGAAAATTAGTCGTCAATTCATGAATGAATTACCACGGTTTGCCAAGGAGAGTGGTGTGTGGGCTACTAAGCAAGCAAACACAGTGCTCCTCCAAACTATAAGACTGACACAAAGAGCAATCAAGGGAAGTGTTGATAACTTGGGCCAGAATTCAGCCACTGCAGAACATGGGTTTTCTGCACTTTAAGCAGTGCATTTGATTTGAACATTTCTGAAGACAAAATAGACAACCACAAAGCGGTGATGTTAAGCCACATTAATGGTATTACTAGTAGTGAGGCATGTTATTTTGTCATACCCATGCTGACTTAGAAGAGTGAAGTGAATAGCTATGACATTGAGCAAGGCACTTATCCAGAACAACTTACAGGTGCAATTAGGGTTAAGAGTGTCTGCTAAATGACTAAAATGTAGATGTATGACTGGACTATGACAACAGGTGCTATGCACATCCATAATCCTTTCATGCCTATACTGTAAAGGAAATGTTATTTTGTGCATCTTGTCTTTGGTGTCAAACCATTTTTGGTTCCTGCCTGTGCCTGGTAAGTATATGAGGGAGGGGCGTTATGACCTCCTCCTTTAGACTAGTTGGCAGAACTCCCAGAATATGTTCTATAAGTTAAGATGGGATACGGTGCCAGACACATGCCGGAACCAACCCTATGAACTGTGTCTGTAACCAGTATATAAGGGAACTAAACGGGACTGCCCTGTTAGGGCTCCTGACAGACGTTCACTATGGTCCATCAAGTTTGTTGGAAACTCTCCAGTGTGCTGACAATAAACAATGATTGATTTAAGATTGACTTTGAGTGTTCCTGTGTAAGAATTTAAACAACACCACATTTTCTAAAACATTACTGCAGTGAGTGAGTTTTAGTGCCCTACGGTCATTAGTCCAACATTTACAGCATTAACACACACCTCTACACACATACATAAACAGCCTAAGTAGGTTCGTCAGACAGTGTTTTTCGTACCTTCCAAGATGTCTGAACAACAATCACCAACCGAGAAAAAAGGACAGGAGAAAAAGAAAGATATGAGAGGGTACAAAGGAAATAAAAAAATCTTCAGAGGATGTGAAAGCCAGGGTCTTTCATGAAGTTCAAAGGAAAAGACAATTTCATGGTGGAGAAGCAGCGTTCAGTTGCGCTGAAGAGTTCATTATGGGACCGTGAAGCTGAACACTAGCTCAGCACGTTTCATCCCGTAACTGAAATGTGTACTAATGAAACAACTAAGTCATACAAGTTTGAGCTAACGGTCATATTTAGCATCTCTGGCTCTTATAAAATGCAAATGTCAAGATTTTCTTTATTGCTCGTATTCACTCTCTGCACCTGCATTGGGTGTCCAGACAGCTCAACTCAGAGCCATGAACAGCCACACCCAGTGGTGGAAAAGGTATGCAATCGTCATACTTGAGTAAAAGTAAAGATACCTTAATAGAAAATGACTCAAGTAAAAGTGAAAGTCACCCAGTAAAATACTACTTGAGTAAAAGTCAAAGTATTTGGTTTTACATTTCCTTAAGTATCAAAAGTAAAAGTATAAATTATTTCAAATTCCATATATTAAGCAAACCAGACGGCACCATTTTTTAATTTATTTTTTTACAGGTAGCCAGGGGCACAATCCAACACTCAGACATAATTTACAAACAAAGCATTTGTGTTTAGTGAGTCTGCCAGATTAGAAGCAGTAGAGATGACCAGGGATGTTCTCTTGATAAGTGTGTGAATTGGACCATTTTCCTGTCCTGCTAAGCATTCAAAATGTAAGGAGTAAAAAGTACATTATTTTCATTAGGAATGTAGTGAAGTAAAAGTAAAAGTGGTCAAAAATATAAATAGTAAAGTACAGATACCCCATAAAACTACTATTTTTAATTAAGTACAGTACACCACTTTCTACACCTGCCCAGAAAATACAGATACAATTTAAACTTTTGATAAATCTGGCACATTAATCAATAGATATCTTGAGGATTATAGCACAAAAAAGTAGCTTTTCATAAATGTATGCGAAATATACATCCATGGTTCTTCTCACCCTTCTCTGATCTATCCTTGTGTCAAGCCTAAGGAATGGGAATGGGAGCCTCACCTATCTCCTCCTTGCAGCCCTCTATCTCCAGCTGTAGTGTGTCCTCCAGGTTCTCTTTGAGGCACTGCTCTGCCTGGAGCTGCTCCTTCAGGAACAGGATCTCCGCCTTCAGCTTCTCTTCCAGGTGGTCTGCAGCCGTGCGCACCGCAACTATGTCCTCCCGCAATTGCAGCACCAGGGGTTGTAGTTCCTAGAGGGGAGCAGAAATAGTTGCACGTACCAATTTAAGTGAGTCACAATGCTGAAAGAAGTACCTGATGGACATGTAAATAGCTCGATGGTGTGAACCAGAGATGGTCGTCTGCTTCTGGGGACCGTGCGCATGGAGAAGTGTATGGTGATGACTTACTCATACATTTCAGTTGCTTCCAACCCTTTCATACTCGTTACTCTCAGTTCTTCTAAGATTTCTTCATTTTCTTCATTTACTCCAACGTATTCCTATTTCTATCACTCATTTAAAAAGCTATTTTAAGTAATTGAATACTGCAATATCTTAGTTTATATGTGATGAAAAAAACCAAGAATCAGTTAGGTGGTTACGAGGGTTTAGCTACCGCATTTTCATCAAGGTTTGGATTCACTCTAAAGACTTGTTCATGTCAAAGCAGTCAACAAGTACACTATAGAATCCTTAACACCCTGAAGGGCCCTAGTATGTTGTCCCCTGCCAGTTCGTCAACCAAAGTCAGTGAAATATTACCTGGTCAGACAAGGGGATTGTTTCATTTCTGAAAGACAGATTATGTGCAGGTCTGCTAACATTACTAGATCTTTACAATTCCAGGAGAAGTGTTTAACATCTCAGGAACCACATCAACATGACATAACGCTCCTATAATGTGTACAGAATCTGTGTATCTGGAACGCAACCAAAGTTTTAGAATATGACTTGAAGCCAAATCTAGGCCTAAAATACACACTTCCTTATCCCTCTTGGATTTAACTTTTGAATATTTGGGATATTATTGTTGTTTTCTTCTTTGTCAATGCTATGAACGCATGGTATGTAATCATCAGGAAAAAATGAAGAGTCTGGATGGTCCTTGCAAATTACTCATGTTTATTATTCAGATGTCAAGAGACATTATTCTGTTAATCTATGAATTTGTGTGACAAAATAAATACAAAAAAATAGAGGGCTTTGGTTTAGAGCAATTCTCAAAATGGTGGCTGTGAATGATTGTTTCGTACTTGCACTGTGATGGGTAGTTTGAAGTCCTCCTGCTGCTGGAGAGATACGTGGAGTCTGTGTTTGCCTGTTAGGCTGTCGTTGTCCATCTGCAGTCTGCCCAGTTCATCCGCTACCTGCTCCCTAGACTGCATCAGCACTGCCTGGTTATGGCAAAAACAGCACTCTGTCAAATCATGTCATCATCCTGTTTCCTCCTGATGATTCAATGTACTGTAAAATGGAACTGCCGACCACAGTCTTCAGGTGTGATTCACTGGCAGAACACTACATCACATTTCCACCAGCTCTATCTCTTTGGCAGGAGAAACATCCTCCTTAATTCCAGAAAGAAGCCAGTTGCATCACTAAATCAAAAGGCACATGCAGCGATGGAATGTCCAAATGCTTTGGCTGCTAACTTTATTTACACAGGCTTTCTGGCACAGACAGACATTATTGAGACACTGGAGGCCCAAAGAAAGGCTATATTGAGAGGGTGTAGTGGAGAAGTGCTGCTCACCATCTGTTCCTGTGTGTTCCTCTTGGCCTGACTGAAGGCCTCTTGTAGTGTGTTGAGCAGCGACTCCGATTCGTGGACTCTCTGCATGAGAGCAGCTACCTGAGACACAAAGAAAGAAATCAGCATGCTCCAGGGGATAACTGAACAAACATACAATCTACAGAAAAATAATGACGTATGCCGATTTATCCACATTCCAACAGGGAGCATGGTACATTCTTTGAAGATTACAAATAACTACTCAAACAACATAAGAGCTAAGCATAAAGATTACTTTACACTTACTATACTTTACGCTTTTTGCATAAGGACTCTGAAGTGTGTGTAATGAGGACAGACCTTGGCAGTGGTTTCCTCGTTTCCCTGTTTTACAGAGTCCTCCAGCTCCTGTTTTTCACTCATGGTTCTCTCCAGCTGGTCGTTGGCCTGCCGCAGCATCACCTGGAGCTTCTTTACCTGAGAAGAACCAGAGAAATGAATGGGAGAGCTAGGCACCAGTTAACACACTCTTTTTCCATCTAATCAGATGGTGCAAATCTTTTCCATTCATTTAGGATTCTTGTCGACATATTTATTCTAATTCATATAGCTTAGTGGGAGCCCCACAACAGCTGACATGGAATATGGAAATACTAAAGATCACATTTATCTATAATTATGTCTATAATAAAGGACTTTGATTTTGAGATGAACCTTCCCTTTACGTATCCTTGGCATTTAGTAAACATCTCAGAAAGTCCAACTGTAATGGAGTGTCTCAGGGAGGGCGTTACCTGATCGCGTGTCTCTGCCTCCTGGCCCTGGATGACTTGCAGCTGTTTCTCGTAATTGGAGCACATGTCACACCGCCGGCCCAACTTCCTCCCTGCGTTCTTCACCTAGTGACAGATAGCCAAGAATCCACTTAGGAGGAATACCACATGGTAAATACGTCTAGGAGAAAGATGTATATAGAAACTGGGGGCTGTCCATGAGAGCAGACTAAACTGTACACAATTCATAGCAGTGTAAAGATTGTTGACTTTATTCTACCATTTGTCAGATAGCGCGAGAGCTGCTGCTACAGCATCTCAAACAGCAAATGCTTTTACTACATATGAGGCAAGTCAAAGTAGCCTACCAAAATCCGACCATATCCGTGAAAGCAATTATTATATATATAAACTTTCTTTCATTGTCCAGTAGCCCCAGGCAAAATCCAAGTCATATTAGCAACACATGCTAGTTGTTGCACATTAGATCTCCCCTCTAAATTCTAATAGATATTTTTATCTGTCACATGAAACCGCTCGCATGTGCAGTGCGCTTTTGACAACAGTGTTTTCCAGCTAATTGCATTATAGAACGAACATTCGCGCCGTAGCCTACTTACTGTCTTGTGCGCATTGCTGCGCTTATAATGTGAAAAGCTAAACGTTCTGATCCATTGCATAATTTTTAAGACTCATTGCTTTTTAACATTACTTTTGTATAGCCTAGGCCTACTGGTTGTATTAATTTGGGATCTATAGTCCCCCAACTGTCCCAGAGTGTTTGGAATAGACTATTTCTTTCTCGACAAACTGACCAATTGAATAGGTAAACTTTTCTACTATGGGGGATAGTAGATGGACATAGGCTAGTGATTTGGTGTTCGTTACTCGTCTTGTTGGCTGAGGGAAAGTAAATGTGGACAGTTATTCTAAACATCTTCAAAGTGCACACCAGCATTCGGTAAGAAGGACCGCACATCAAATAAAATGTTATTTGTCACATGCTTCATAAACAGGTGTAGACTAACAGTGAAATGCTTACTTACGGGCCCTTCCCAACAATGCAAAATAAATACAAGAGAATTAGTAGAAAACAAAATAAGAACAATAACACAAGGAATAAGTAGGAAAATAATAACATAAGGAATAAATAAACAATGAGTAATGATAACTTGGCTAAATACGGGCTACCAGTACCGAGTCCATCTGCAGGGGTACAAGGTAATTGAGGTAGATATGTACATTTAGGTAGGGCTTTCCTCTGACACCACCTGGTATAGAGGTCCTGGATGGCAGGGAGCTCGGCCCCAGTGATGTACTGGGCCGTACGCACTACCCTCTGTAGCACCTTGGAAGGTCGGATGGCAAGCAGTTGCCATACCAAGCGGTGATGCAGCCAGTCAAGATGCTCTCAATGGTGCAGCTGTATAACTTTTTGAGGATCTGAGGACCCATGCCAAATCTTTCTAGCCTCCTGAGGGGGAATAGGCATGTTCATGCCCTCTTCACGACTGTATTGATGTGTGTAGACCATGATAGTTCCTTAGTGTTGTGGACACCGAGGAACTTGAAGCTCTCGACCTGTTCCACAACAGCCCCGTCGATGTGGATGGGGGCGTGCTCAACCCTCCGTTTCCTGTAGTCCACGATCAGCTCCTTTGTCTTCCTGAGAGGTTGTTGTCCTGGCACCACACTGCGTTGTTGGATGTGTTGTTGCCTACCCTCACCACCTGGGGGCGGCCCATCAGGAAGTCCAGGATCCAGTTGTGTAGGGAGGTGTTTAATCCCAGGGTCCTCAGTTTAGTGATGCACTTGGAGGGCACAATGGTGTTGAATGATTAGCTGTAGTCAATGAACGGCATATTCTCACGTAGGTGTTCCTTTTGTCCAGGTAGGCAAGGGCATGTTCTGTTAATATGAATTACCATAATCCAAATGTGATTTATTTCATTCTGAGCACCGTGAGTGGACGCCCTAATCAGGTTACACACCCAATGCATATGGGTCCGGTAGATTTCTCAAATAGCCGGTAAATTAAAATGCTACCGGTAAATGTCCGGCGCCACATTTTCCTAACGGAAACCTGGTACTAAATGGTACTTAGTGGTGGTTTTGAACCAATGTGATTATGGGGTTATGGAATTACAAGCCAACAACTTTTACCATGTAAACGAGGTATAGCATACAATATGGCCCCGTGTAGCTCAGTTGGTAGAGCATGGCGCTTGCAATGCCAAGGTTGTGGGTTCGTTTCCCACGGGGGGCCAGTATGAAAATGTATGCACTCACTAACTAAGTCGCTCTGGATAAGAGCGTCTGCTAAATGACTCAAATGTAAAAATGTCGAACTGCAAAACAAAGCCCAACCAAAACATCATACAATATAAATGAACTAAAACACTGTATGAAACTGTCTGACCTCTTGCTGTAGCAGGTTCCACTCCTGGTCACTGACCAACCGGTAGCCTGACGGGGTCAGGAAGGTGGTGTCGGGGGCGTGGGAAATGCTGGACATCAGCGAGGCAGTCTCTTCCTGCTCCGGTGTCATGGCCTTGATGGCCTTCTCCTGGTCCTGGATCATATCAAATCAAACTTGATTTAAAACGGCATAAAAAAAAAAAACTCTACACATTTTACAGACACAATAAATGTATAATAAAGGTAGATTTAAGACCTTGGTGAGAAGGAAGTGGCCGGCCGTCAGCTGGATGGAGCTGACCGATAGAGTGTCCCCAAAGCCAAACAGGCCCTCAGAGGCCCCGCAGTCCGCCCCCACCAGGGGTCCGAAGTCGGACTCGTCCAGGTGGCTGGCCGACTTGGCCTTATGGTTGTGGCCCCCCAGGCCCTGGAGACCGGGAGAGGAACCCAGGCTGTCTGTGGACTGGACCCTCCGCAGGCAGTCTTTGTAGGGATCGAAGGGGCCCCCTGCCACCAGGTCAGTGTCTAAGGAGTGCATGGAGCCGTGGGCGCTGTGGTTGACGTGGGGCTGGAGGAGAGAAGAGGGAGGAAGAGAGTGGTTGTAATGACGAGAAGTAGATGAGTAGCACATCGGGCTCCCTTTACACAGGCAGCCCACTTCAGATCTTTTCCCTAATCTGTAAACATCAAAAAAAGCACACGGAATCTGATCTTTTGACCTCCACCTACAAACCCAACATGATCAAAAGTATGGGGACACCTGCTCATCGAACATCTCATTCCAAAATCATGGCCATTAATATGGAGTTGGTCCCCCCTTTGCTGCTATAACAGCCTCCACTCTTCTGGGAAGGCTTTTCACTAGATGTTGGAACATTGCTGCGGGGACTTTACACCACTCCAGCTGACGCTTGGAATTGCGCATGGTGATCTCAGGCTTGTGTGCGGCTGCTCGGCTATGGAAACCCATTTCATTAAGCTCCCGGCGAACAGTTATTGTGCTGACGTTGCTTCCAGAGGCAGTTTGGATTTTTACATGTTACGCACTTCAGCGGTCCAGTTCTGTGAGCTTTTGCGGCATACCACTTCGCAACTGAGCCGTTGTTGCTCCTAGACGTTTCCACTTCACAATAACAGCACTTACAGTTGCCCGGGGCAGCTCTAGCAGGGCAGACATTTGACGAACTGACTTGTTGGAAAGGTGGCATCCTATGACGGTGACACGTTGAAAGTCAATGAGCTCTTCAGTAAGGCCATTCTACTGCCAATGTTTGTCTATGGCGATCGCATGACTGTGTGCTCGATTTTATATACCTGTCAGCAATGGGTATGGCTGGAATAGCCGAATCCACTAATTTGAAGGGGTGTCCAAATACTTTTGTATTTATAGTGTGTTGAGCTGAATCCTGATACAAACCTGATAGTCCATTTGCGACCTGTCTGGACGCTCAGATCAGATGTTTTTGCTCTGAAGATGATACATTCTTTTTTGCACATGACCTGTCATTACCATGACAACTACCCAAAAATATAAAGGAACAGTGACAGGAAATGAGCATTGCATCTGTGTGCTACTTCAGAGGCTACATCAGTGTGAATGCACAAATCTGATATGGGTCACATGTAGGGCTGACCCCATTTAGTCGACTTGTCGATTGTTTGGTCGACCGATATTTATTTAGTCGAGCAGTAGCAAATAAATAAAATAATAATATCATGGTGTACAAGACACCTGACTGATTCGCGCCTGTCTAAGTGGACTAATCCATTGTGGAGGCCGTGGGGATGGCACAGTCCATCACTCTAAGATGTGCTACTGAAATTGTATATGGTTATATTACATAAGAGCAATGGTGCAACACTAATAAAAATATAATTTAATAACAATGCGCTTTCTCCCGCGTTGGATAGTGGTCGCTGTCCGCGGTTATAAAACACATCAGTGTGCTGTTGAATTGGCACCTTTTCCTAGACCATGTCACAATGTGCATAATAGCAAAGTTAACCAGCATATTGGTGTTGAGAACAATGGGGCGGAGGCAGCAGCAGAATGAGACGAGATGAGAAAACAGCCCTTGCCTTATTGTCTAAGAAATGTGACGAGCCTTGCATTAAAGAACATAATTGGTTAAAGAAAACTGTGATAAATAAAAAAGTATACCAGTTTCATTTGAGGACTAAAGGATTGACAGCCGTCCCATATAGATTGCAAAATAGTTGGGAAGAGATTTTTGACGTACCGATCCCATGGCATAGTGTTTATGAACTGACACGCAAAACGACACCGGATTCAAAACTTAGAATCTTTCAATTTAAATTATTATTTGAAATTCTTGCTACCAATAGAATGTTATTTATATGGGGGATACAATCTTCCCAGCTCTGCAGATTTTGCTGCGAAGAGACAGAATCATTAGATCATTTGTTTTGGTACTGTCCATTTGTAGCTTGTTTTTGGACACAGGTCCAGGAATGGCTGAAGGATTGCAATATTTACCTGGAAATAACCCTGCAGATAGCATTACTGGGTGATCTGAAAAGTCAAAGTCAATCGATCAATAATATAATAATACTTTTAGGAAAAATGTTTATTTTCAATTTACAATCTGTAGAAACAATGAGAATAGAAAGGTTCAGAACTTTTGTAAAACACAGTACAGTAGGAAAATATATGGCAAATAGAAATCCTATATGGATGGTGTTAAGAGATAGATGGGTGGTGTTGAATGGAGTTGAAGGATGGGACTAATAACAACTAATAACAAGATAACTAATAATGTAAGCATACTGTGTCCATAATAAGTATATAGGTTGTAGGTTGAGAGCTTTTGTGAAAGAGCACAGTTAGAAAGATATGGCATATAGAACGAAAACCGGATGGACATCATGAAAATGATCAGAGGTTGAGAGTAGAAGAAGTTCAGGAGAAAAAACAAAACAAAATATAATTATTGTAAAATTGACTGTCCATAAAATTTATATAGTAAGTATAAGCTGGAAGTAGAGGCCTAAGCATTGTTGTTCACTAGTTTACTCCAATTAGGGAAAGGGTGGTGGGGTTGGAAAGTAATAAAGGGGAATATATATTTTTTTAAAGTATATGTGTATGTATGAAAAAAAAAACGAGAAAAAAAAGAAATGTGAAGAGAGGAAACCCCAACTTAAGTCTATAATCAATAGCCTAACTGTTAAATGTGCCTGGCTTTATCAATATATCTACAGAAATAGGACAGATCCTGCTTCTGTTGCCTGTTTGAGTGTTTGTTTAATAGCCTACTGATTCCGTGAGCACCGAGCCTCACACAATGACATATCAAGTAAACAATTTCACAAATTTGGCTATTCTAAACTTTGCTTTGCTGTAATTAAGGCTTTAAAAATGTTTTTCCATTAGAACAGCCTTAGTATAGCAGCCTTTTATAATGAGCTGTAGGCCTAAGAGCGCATCCTGTTTAGTCTTAATACCATAACTTAGGCCTATATTTCAATACTTAGTGCATTCAGACCCCTTGACTTTTTCAAAATGTTACGTTACAGCCTTATTCTAAAATTGATTCAAAACATGTTTTCCCTCATTAATCTACACACAATACCCCATAATGACAAAGCAAAAACTGTTTTTTATAAATGTCCGCAAATTTATAAGTTCAAGTCCGGGCTCTGACTGGGCCACTCAAGGACATTCAGAGACTTGTCCAGAAGCCACTCCTGCATTGTCTTGGCTGTCTGCTTAGGGTTATTGTCCTGTTGGAAGGTGAACCTTCACCCCAGTCTGAGGTCCTAAGCGCTCTGGAGCAGGTTTCCATCAAGGATCTCTCTGTACTTTGCTCCATTAATCTTTTCCTCGATCCTGACTAGTCTCCCAGTCCCTGTTGCTGAAAAACATCCCACAGCATAATGGTGCCAGGCTTCCTCCAGAAGTGACGCTGGGCATTCAGGCCAAAGAGTTCAGTCTTAGTTTCATCAGACCAGAAAATCTTGTTTCTCATTATAAGAGTTCTTTAGGTGCTTTTTGGCAAACTTCAAGCTGGCTGTCATGTGCCTTTTACTGAGGAGTGGCTTCCGCCTGGCCACTCTACTATAAAAGGCCTGATTGGTGGAGTGCTGCAGAGATGGTTGTCCTTTTGGAAGGTTCTCCCATCTCTCTGTCAGAGTGACCATCGGGTTCTTGCTCACCTCACTGACCAAGGCCCTTCTCCCCCGATTGCTCAGTTTGGCCAGGCGGCCATCTCTAGGAAGAGTCTTGGTGGTTCCAAACTTCTTCCATTTAAGAATGATGGAGGCCACTGTGTTCTTGGGGACCTTCAATGCTGCAGACATTTTTTGGTACCCTTCCCCAGATCTGTGCCTCGACACAATCTTGTCTTGGAGCTCTATGGACAATTCCTTCGACCTCATGGCTTGGTTTTTGCTTTGACATGAACTGTCAACTGTGGGACCTTATATAGACAGGTGTGTGCCTTTCCAAAATCATGTCCAATCAATTGAATTTACCACAGGTGGACTCCAAGTTGTAGAAATATCAAGGATGATCAATGGAAACAGGATGCACCTGAGCTCAATTTCGAGTCTCATAGCAAAGGGTCTGAATACTTATGTAAATAAGCTATTTCTAAAAACCTGTTTTCGCTTTGTCATTATGGGGTATTGTGTGTAGATTGATGAGGATTTCTATTTATTTAATCCATTTTAGAATAAGGCTGTAACGTAACAAAATGTGGAAAAAGTCAAGTGGTCTGAATACTTTCCGAATGCTACTGTATCAATCAATCATTCATTCGTACATGTACGAGTACATCATCACATCACATGTACATCATACGAGTCATTCACGATTTGAAATGCAATCAAGCATTTTAGTTTAAAAATACAATAAAGTGAGCCTTGAATAATTAGCTTAAATAAGAAATACACAGTTCCATTTCAGAAATTACATTCATGAATGGGACTGTTTTTAGTATTTCATGTAAAAAAGGCTTAACAAAAAAAACCTTACAATAGACTCTGGTAAGCTTATAATTTAGTGTTTTTTACATTGTTCCAAACAGTCCGAAAAATATTGTAATCTATACAGCACTTGTTTGGCACACATAATATGCACACGCTTGCTCCTTACCTTTTTCTTGATCTCCAGTATTTTCCACAACTAGTCAAATTTATTCCACACATCTGACCTCCCCTTTGACTCCTGAGCAACCAGTAAACATTCACTTGTTTCAAGTTTATTTATTTGTCATGTCCTCTGCATCCATTTTACTGTCATGTGGTACGGTGTGATTATGATATGCTATAGGTCGGGCCCTATTGGTCACGTGCATGCGATACATACAGTGGGGAAAAAGTATTTAGTCAGCCACCAATTGTGCAAGTTCTCCCACTTAAAAAGATGAGAGGCCTGTAATTTTCATCATAGGTACACGTCAACTATGACAGACAAATTGAGAATTTTTTTTCCTGAAAATCACATTGTAGGATTTTTTATGAATTTATTTGCAAATTATGGTGGAAAATAAGTATTTGGTCACCTACAAACAAGCAAGATTTTTGGCTCTCACAGACCTGTAACTTCTTCTTTAAGAGGCTCCTCTGTCCTCCACTCGTTACCTGTATTAATGGCACCTGTTTGAACTTGTTATCAGTATAAAATACACCTGTCCACAACCTCAAACAGTCACACTCCAAACTCCACTATGGCCAAGACCAAAGAGCTGTCAAAGGACACCAGAAACAAAATTGTAGACCTGCACCAGGCTGGGAAGACTGAATCTGCAATAGGTAAGCAGCTTGGTTTGAAGAAATCAACTGTGGGAGCAATTATTAGGAAATGGAAGACATACAAGACCACTGATAATCTCCCTCGATCTGGGGCTCCACGCAAGATCTCACCCCGTGGGGTCAAAATGATCACAAGAACGGTGAGCAAAAATCACAGAACCACACGGGGGGACCTAGTGAATGACCTGCAGAGAGCTGGGACCAAAGTAACAAAGCCTACCATCAGTAACACACTACGCCGCCAGGGACTCAAATCCTGAAGTGCCAGACGTGTCCCCCTGCTTAAGCCAGTACATGTCCAGGCCCGTCTGAAGTTTGCTAGAGTGCATTTGGATGATCCAGAAGAGGATTGGGAGAATGTCATATGGTCAGATGAAACCAAAATATAACTTTTTGGTAAAAACTCAACTCGTCGTGTTTGGAGGACAAAGAATGCTGAGTTGCACCCAAAGAACACCATACCTACTGTGAAGCATGGGGGTGGAAACATCATGCTTTGGGGCTGTTTTTCTGCAAAGGGACCAGGACGACTGATCCGTGTAAAGGAAAGAATGAATGGGGCCATGTATCGTGAGATTTGAGTGAAAACCTCCTTCCATCAGCAAGGGTATTGAAGATGAAACGTGGCTGGGTCTTTCAGCATGACAATGATCCCAAACACACCGCCCGGGCAACGAAGGAGTGGCTTCGTAAGAAGCATTTCAAGGTCCTGGAGTGGCCTAGCCAGTCTCCAGATCTCAACCCCATAGAAAATCTTTGGAGGGAGTTGAAAGTCCGTGTTGCCCAGCGACAGCCCCAAAACATTACTGCTCTAGAGGAGATCTGCATGGAGGGATGGGCCAAAATACCAGCAACAGTGTGTGAAAACCTTGTGAAGACTTACAGAAAACATTTGACCTGTGTCATTGCCAACAAAGGGTATATAACAAAGTATTGAGAAACTTTTGTTATTGACCAAATACTTATTTTCCACTATAATTTGCAAATAAATTCATAAAAAAATCCTACAATGTGATTTTCTGGATTTTTTTTCCTCAATTTGTCTGTCATAGTTGACGTGTACCTATGATGAAAATTACAGGCCTCTCTCATCTTTTTAAGTGGGAGAACTTGCACAATTGGTGGCTGACTAAATATTATTTTTCCCCACTGTACATGTGTCATGTAAAGAGAGCAAGGGTTGAGGGAACAAATCAGGGATTTCGTTAATACAACTTTTCAGTCAGAAATGGCTGTAATTGTTGCAACTTCAGCAACACGGACAGCACAATAAACACTTTGATGTTCTGTGGTGGTCACTGCAGCAGGGAGGACAAAGAGACAACGGGTGCTAGTCACTCGCAGTCTTTTTTTTAGCACAGCAAGTCTGAGCCCGGCCCGGCACAATCAAATAAAGTGCTGGTCGGACTCCCTCTAGTCATTTGTGTGTATTCATTATTTTATCAAACAATGTACTTAAAGCATCAATTGGCCCAGCGTCGTCCGGGTTTGGCCGGTGTAGGCCGTCATTGTAAATAAGAATTTGTTCTTAACTGATTTGCCTAGTTAAATAAAGGTAAAATAAAAAAATAAAAGCTCAGTGAATATAGTTGATTTGATTAAAAAACACATAGGATGTGTCAATATATGGAAAAATACACTTCAACATTTAGACCAATCGATTGGTCAAAAGAACAGACGACTCTTGGTCGAATAAGATTTTGTTTTAGTCGGGGACAGCTCGCTACATGTAAAACGCAGTGTGGACAGTCCGAAAAAAATATTGGATATAGAAAAAATACAATTTGGGTTCTTAGGGTGGCTGTGTAAACACAGAAAAGAGAGAAAACAGAGAGGAAAAAGTGCCGTGGGGATGTTCTGTGGTTGAGCGATGGTAAAACTGCAGTGTCAAGATTGGAAATGAGAGGTGCATTGTCAGCAGAGAAGTGCTTTTAACATGCTTTAGACCAATTTCTTGAATACTTATGTCAGTGTTACAGGAATTCTCTAAGCCACTTAAGGAGATGGCATTTCAGACCACAATTGACCATGCTTGTCACAGAGGATTAGGTGGAAAAGTGAACCTTCTACCTTCACAGAGAAGTCATTGTAAAGATGTGGAGTTACAATGTCTAGAGTTTATGGCCACTCCAGCCCTCACTCGTATCTCTTTGTATGTCATCACGCAACAGACGTCAGAGTATATTCAAATTGTTTTTAATCACAGCTAAAGTTTTTATTGCTACGGATTCCGCGATCCGGTTAGCCTTTACGGCTGGGACCGCAAGTTTGTGTTCCGGATTACTGTTAACACTAGAACCACCATAGGCCAACGGCCACTGACGTTTTATTTAGTAAATAAAATAAATCCCCCCCCCCCAAAAAAAGCAATGTCCTGCTCTTTAACTGACTTTTCCTAAATGTTTGTATTTTACATTGCTAATTTGTCAGAATTTTTAAAGCACAAACAGAAAAGTATTTAGAGCCTTTACCGGTTTTCTCACACCTATTCCCAACTTAAACCGCCAAGACAATGCGCAGTAGGATGTTGGTATCCAGCCAGGCGCTAATGCGTCTCTTTCTCTCCCCTCACTGAATGAATGACAAATAGATGAATGAGCAATAATTGTGCACCTTCACAATTTAATTAAAATTAGGCCTAACTGAATGATAATGAAATGGTTGATTTAATTTATAAAGACAGCGTAATGATGAGTGTGTTATGTGCCAATTTATCCTATTTATCAGCAGCAAATAATTGGACCACATGACCTTGCAGGTTGATATTCTCTGTTACGTTTTACTTTATAAAAAGAAGCTGTTATGGGACTGTTTTATTTACTATAACTATTACTAATCAAATGTATTGTAAGGGAAATGGTAACATGCTACATGTTGCAGTAGGCCTTTAGAATAATGCAAAATATATCCTCGACTATCCGAGTTGATGAGCGAATGGACGCAAACGATGCCAGCCCACTGAATTAATGACCAATGGATGGAATGGGCGATAATTGTGCAAGTTACTTCACAATCAAATTTAAAATTAAGCCTAACTGAATGATGAGGGTGAAGAGGTCGATTTAATTTAGAACAATAGTGTAATGATGAGTTTGTGTTATGCCTATTTATCAATATTGTCGCTTATGTTAATAATTTGACCGTGCGCCTTGCGGCTTGATACCATTCTCTTGTACTTTGTAAAAATAAGCTTTTATGGGACTGTTTTATTTACTGTAACTCTATTACTAACCAAATGTATTGTAAGGGAAACGAAAACATGCTACCTGTTGCTGTAGGCCTTTAGAATATTGCAAATTATACAACGCGTGGGTCTAATCCTGAATGCTGATTGGTTAAAACCGCATTCCAGCCGGTGTCTATTCCACAAGTTACCACCGGCTAAATCTATGACGTTCAAATGCCTATTTACTACGTTCCATTAACCAGGAAATGTATAACCTTGATCTCCCCTATAAAAAGCATCTAGACATTATCTCCCATTTCTTTTAGAGTAGCATTTGGTTTTCAACAGCAGAGACTTATATAAACCTTGCCGTCTATCTCTCCGACCTTTTCAATATTGTTTCAATATTGAATTGCGATCTCCACCGTCCCATATAAAGTGAATGTGTCCGAACAAGACAGACAGCAAATTGAGCAGGTTGTCATAGCGACACACTTTTTTTTTCAGTTGACTGGCTAAATCGATACTTTGTTGCGAAAACTTAAATGGATGAGTGGAACATTTATTTTGATATTTTCAGCGGCATGATTAAGGATGAATGGGAAAAAGAGATGGCAATAATACCCAGGCATGCAGATTTGGGGGATACTGCATTGAATAAACGAACGAAAGAAAAGCCGCAACGAAAAAAAACACAGTTAGGAATACAAACTGGGCTGTGTGGTGCTTCCAGGGCTGGCTAGCAGAGAATAAAAAAGTTGTTGACTTCAAAACTGTCACTAAGGAAGAGTTTAACATCCTTCTCCGACAGTTTTATGGAAATGTAGAAATGGCAAGGCGGCGCAGCACAGCATAAGCAGCTACATTTTTTACATTTTAGTCTTTTAGCAGACGCTCTTATCCATACATTTTTATTTTTTTATTTTTCATACTGGAATCGAACCCACAACCCTGGCGTTGCAAATGCCATGCTCTACCAACTGAACTACATCGCTGCCTGCCATTCCCTCCCCTACCCTGGACGACGCTGGGCCAATTGTGCGCCGCCCCATGGGTCTCCCGGTCGCGGCCGGCTACGACAGAGCCTGGATTCGAACCAGGATCTCTAGTGGCACAGCTAGCACTGCGATGCAGTGCCTTAGACCACTGCCCCACTCTACCTGGCACTCTGGAGTGGGCTCAACCGGTTTCTAATTGACCCACCCATCGGTTGCAGCTGGTGCCTTATGAAGGACACTGAATTTATCACCTCGAATCATGTATTTCTGGGCAACATCAAACAGCTAAGGCGGCAAGAAAAATATATCACAAACAGCCACCCTCCCATCACCGATAAGGACATGGCACAGCTCCAAAACTCTCATGCTCTGAATCCCGGTACACTAAGGGGTCTGGTCCAGAAAGTGTGGTTCGACCTCCAGTTACATCTGGGTCGAAGAGGAAAAGAGAGGAACAGACAACTAAAGCCCAACTCATTCCTCGTAAAAACAGACAGTCTAAAATATAGCCTGTTTGTGTTACTTCTAGGTTGCACTCGTAATTAGGCTACTGGAAAAATATATAATAACGCACTCTCTCTCAAATACACCACTCTCGCATATAACGAGGCCACAAATAATCTTCTGGACCCAAGGGAGAGGGGCAGGGAGTCCAAGAGGGGATTCATGTTCGAGCAGCCAGGGAACCCACTATGCCCGGTGGCATCACTGGATTAATATTTATCGAAATGCCCGGAGAACGCCCTTGCATTTTATCTCCACCCAAGGAAAGGAGAGTGTATCGGGGAGTCGATCTGGTACACGTCAGAGCCGATGGGTGTGAACTATCTGGTAGCACTTCTACCCAAGATCTGCAGGGCAGCGGGAACAACTACATACACAAATCACAGCATCAGGACCACGACAGTCCTGAAACTGGCCAATGCTGGTTTAGAAGCGAGGGAGATTATGTCAGTGAGTGGGAATCGGTGCGAAGGTTCGCCACATAGCTACTGGCATCCCTCAATGACAGACAGAAAACGCTGGAGCAACATCCTGGCCGAAAACAAAGAGAACACTGCAGCACCATCAACACCCAAAAGGCTGAAGCATGGCAGCAGAAGTAGTAGCACAGACTCTGACATATATTTCAACCAATGCACCATCCAGGGGAATGTACAGATAAATGTGACACACAATAAGTAGCTATAGCTATGTCAGCTGTGGTGGATAACAAAGAGAATGTATAGTTTCATTTATTAAAATCAGCTCAAATGAATGTCATGGATTGTCTTTCTTTTGTCTGAACAGTGTCCTGACGAGAGCACATTTTCTCTGCCAGGCAAAGTCGCGCATCATAAGCTCATTGTTATGGATGTATCCAAATAAATCTAACTAGAAAACAGCTTAAACAAATGCAAATGTAGCTACTTTGCTGTTACTCTGGCTGCACTTTTTGACGTGACTGTAAGTTAGCCGTAGTTGGCTAGCTAGCAAGCAAGGGATAAGAACGTTGCCAGCCAGTATGGCAATGGAACATTTAGAATGAACGACTGGGTAGCATCTATAGATACAGAACAAAAAGACTGAACGACTGGGTCGCGTCTCTAGCTTTATCACTTAAACATATCCTTGACTCTATCCAAGTTGATGAGCGGGAAACAAATGATGTGTAATCTGATGAGTGACAATATTATCAGTTGTCAAATTGACATATGCAGGGAAGGAGCATCACTTCATAAAATCGTCGTTCAGAGTCACATGCAGGTAAAACCTTTTCATTTCTATATTAGTATCAGAAAGAGCATATTCTGCAGTTTCTGACACTTACCTTTGTCAAATAATTCTCAAAATTCAAGAGGTGCAGCTCTATTTCCAAATTCCACTTTTAACGAAAATATCCGTGCAGTCCATGCCTTCAGCACATCAACACTTGCGAGGCCGCAATGCTCTGGCTACTAAGCAAAAAACAAACTTAAAATATGCTAATTTGTCATAAATGGATGAATGGGCAATAGAAACCAGATTGAAACTGATAACGGTGCATGTAACTTCAATGAACTGAATGATGAGGGTGAAGAGGGTGACTGAATTTAGAACAACAGCGTAATGATGAAGAATTGTGGACAGTAATTATTTTATTATGAAAGGCTAGAAATGGTATATAATCTCCCCTCAGAGTCAAATCATACACTGAGTACAACGTTCACAATGGCAAGCCGAACCAAACGAATGGACACACTGACAGCATTGCAAATGTTGCAGAATTTAGATGAGTTGAGTCGGATGGAGGATCGGATATTGAGCTTGTAATCGACATTGCTGATGAAGTGTCTTCATCTGATTCTGATGTTGACTTCAAGCCTCCACCTCCAACGCCTGAGCCTCGCCGCAGAAAAACCAGAACAGAACCAACAGACGGTGATCCCAACTGCCACGGTGAGACAGGAGTCTGGGAGGGATGGCACGGTTTGGGTAGAAAGTGTGATGAGAGCGCAACAGGAAGGCAGCCTTCCCAGAATATTCTCACAGAGAGAGTAGGCCCTAAACCTCACACAAAGAGACAAATTGCCAGTGCACTCAAAATGTTTTTGTTTATGTGACATGCAGATGTTGCAGCACAGAGATTGTACTGTCGCTCATGCGCACAGAAAAGGAACAGTACGTGGGGCATGTCTATGGATGAATTTAAAGCATTTATTGCACTCTTGTATGTCCGCGGAGCATACGGCGGAAAGATCATGGATGTGGAGTCATTTTGGTCTGATAGGTATGGGGTGGACTTTTTCCAAGAGACCATGCCACGGAACCGCTTCAGAGAGATTATGCAACACCTGCGTTTTGATGACAAAGAGACAAGACCAGTACACGTGCAGACAGACAAATTTGCCGCTGTCTCAGACACCTGGAAAAATTGTGACTAATTGCATTGCTTCTTACAAGCCAGGAGAGAACGTAACTGTTGATGAACAACTGTTCCCAACAAAAGCTCAGTGCCGTTTTACGGGAAAGATGAAACCAGGCCAGCGGGTGAGTGACTGTGAGACTGTGGTTTTGAGACTCGGGGAGCCTTACATGGGCAAAGGCAGAAATGTGACCATGGACAACTTCTTCACATCAATTTCCCTGGCAGACAAGTTGATTGCAAAGAAGAGTAGCCTGCTCGTAACAGTGAACAAACAAAAGGCGGGAGCTGTCCCCCTCTGTGCAAAACATACCAGCGGAGCTGTACTCCACATCAGTGATGGAGAGTGGTAAAGCAACCCTCACGGTGTACAGATGTAAAATAAACAAGAGTGTTTGCATCCTCAGCACCATGCATCCCACTGTTGCCATCAGCAAAGGTATATATCTCTGCCATATACAGATAGCCTTTCCATTTGCTAAACACCAAATATTTCATTTTATTATATTACATTAATATTATTGTTATTACTATTAGTAGTATTATTCTATATAATTGTAACATTTATTTTATGCAATAGGTTGGTGTGGATGCACTCGACCAGATGGCAAGACTGTACTCCGTAAAAGAAGGTACTCGGCGATGGCCTGTAGCAGTGTTCTACAAAGTGCTCGACAATGGCTGCTATCAACGCACACGTGTTGTACAAGCAATGCCTTGACAAGACAGTCAGCAGGAGAGATTTCATCATGATCTGGCATGTGAGCTTCATGAGAACCACATGAACGGCAAGAAAGAAACTACAGCCGCCAAGCAGGCCACCAAGGCTGCAGGTCCTGCTCTCCCTCTTCCCCAAGCACCACAGCTCCCACTCTGGAAAAAGAAGACAATGTCAAGTCGGCAGGTGCACACGAAATAAGGCCCATGAAAACTGTGTGCAGTGCAACTGATTTGTTTGTGGCACTTGCTCATACAAAGCCCCAAAGCTGTGTGCTGACTGTGGACCCGAAGCATAAAGAGAAGACAAGATTGATTCAAGAGTAAAGGCACAATACAGTGTCCGACACATTCAACAATTGACTTTATATCTTGTCATGAATATATTTCCACAAATATTTATTTATGCAATTCATCCTTTACAATTGTTCATGCACTGGTGCTTTTGTTTAGGAATACAGCAAATCATTTCACCTGAACACCTGGCTGGTTATATTATTATCATCCTTTTAGTTTCTACTTTGTCAAAAGAAGCTTGAACAGGACTTTATGAATTACTATAACTCTATTACTAATCGAATCTATACATAAAGTTGATCAAATGGGTTACACTAATGTTTTTATTGTAAGGGAAACGAAAATAGGTTATAGGCCTACGTTTTTTCTAGGACTTCGTAGAACTATACACATATCCTTGACTCGAAACAATATTTTTTATTTTTATTTTATATATTTCCACATATATTCCTTTACGCAATTCATCCTCTACAATAGTTTATGCACTATTTATCAAGCGTTTATTTATCAAGCGTGTTTGTGCACCTTGCGGGTTGATCTGCATCTGATGCATATGTTAAAGGGAACACCCAGCAATGTTCTCTATCGGGTACTTATATGTTGAAAGGCCAGGCGGTTATAGTGTTAAGTAGCAGTTAGCTGCTAGCAGTCATGAAAACGGAGCAGGCTAACGCAAGCAGTGCTAGCCCACCGGTGTTTTTATCCACGGCTGGGCACAAACGCTTTAGGTGTGAGATGATTGCCACACAATCACAAGATAAGGTCGAACTGAAAAATTGAAAGGGATTTGTCTGCCCTAAATGCACCACCAAGCAGCTTAGTGGAAGAGAAACTCCGGCAGCGAGAAAAGGATAATCTGCTCTCTAAGTACACCGACCTCGCTGTAGCCCAGGTAAACCGAATCACAGTTATAAATGCCTCCTATAGCAAAGCTGTCGATGAGTCGGGAGGCGGTGATCTGTCCCAATCCAATGGACAGATGTTAAGCTCAACTCCGCGGCCCATGGGAGACTGGACACTCACAAGGCGTAGGAGATCGGGGAGGCAGTCAGGCCACCCTTCATCTATCCGAGAAGATCCGATCCAGCTATCAAACAGCTTTGGCCCGCTTGAGACGGACCTACCAGCCCCGGGAGTCAGCACGGATCCTGGGAGTATACCACCAGCCGGCGGCCACCTAGTGGCACCCTCCCCTACGGCCACTACAGTTCAGCAGGTCGCTGACTCAAGACAGAAGGGTTTCGGGCCATCTTCCACCTTCCTGGGGTTTCCAACGCCATCTGCTGTTGCAGGTGCGAAAAGTCTGGCTAGCCTGGCTCGAAGCCTCCATCCGCCTGCCCGAGGCAGTTCCATCCTGCTCCTCCTCTTCCTTCCCCATTGGATTCCATCACGACCACCATCATTGTGGGCAGCTTGATGGTGAGATTTTGGTCTGCCTACGGTCAGTGGATGGACCAAGATCCACTGACACCCAGGAGCCTGTGTCCATGACATCAACTCCCTCCTGCACACGGTTCTGGCCAAATACTCCAATATTGACACCATCGTCACTCACGTAGGTTTTAACGACCTTCGCTTTAGGTGATCTGAAGGAACTGAGGTAGGACTACAAAAAAAAAATTTTAACACCCTCGCTAGCACAAGGAAGATAATATTTATATCTGGCCCCCTCTCGTGCTATCGAAAGGGTTCAGAACGGTTCAGCCGACTCGTTGCACTAAACGAGTACCTGAAGAAACTTTGCAACGACAGGAATTAATCCTTTTGTGACAACTTTGATTTGCTGTGGAAGCAACCAGCACTTTTTAAAAGAGACGGGATTCACCCTAACCACAGGGGTTCCAGGATTATTTCAAGCAATGTCGCAAGCTGTTTTAGAGACTGGCGGACAGGGTCTGGTAGTGCTCCAGTCCTCCCTGTCAGAATGAGCAGAGGACTTGGAAAGCATATCAACTCCTGTAGAAATGGCACTATGGTTATTGTGAGTAACCAAACTTATGTTCCTCTAACTCCGCCTTCTAGTGAGTTTATACAAACTGTCATATCCTACCGCTGATAGATTGGAGACTGTCAGAAAAAGTAGTTTGAACGTTTATAACTTGGTTGTTATTCCATTGGTTGCCTCGAGGCAGATGCCCCAGGGGCAGAGTGGCCCACACTCATTGAATATGGTGCTTTTAAAATGTTAGAGCAATCACTAATAAAACCTCTCTTGAATGACCTCATTACTGAGCACAAAGTTGATTGCATGTTTCTCACTGAAACATGGCTGTCTTCAGACTGTAGT